GAGGTACATCAGCAGAGAGCCCGTTCCTTTCACCTCTAATTACCTGAGAATTCACTAAAATCACTGGGGTTGTTAGCGCGGCGTTCACATCTGCACGAAAGAACAGGAGGGAGAAGCTGGTATCGAGAAACTAGGTCAGGGAAATGGGTCAGGTTTGTAAAATATATGAATATGTGAAATTTGCACACCCATATTTTTGATAGTCTTGGTCATATATTGGAGATAATGAATGAATCACAAACTTTTATTTTAGCACATTATTTGCGGCAGTGGCAAAAATATAATATACAAGTAAATGTGTTTTGAAACTGGATTGTATTGTGTAGGAACTGGAAGAGTGGGCAGCTTTACCATCAGAGAGAAGAAATAACCTCATCCATAAGCACCACAGAAGTCATAGATGTTAAAGGGGAGATATATATTGTTGAGAACCAGGGGATGGAGATTTCTGAACAGAGAAGAGGAGTTTCTTTTGTCATTATTGTTGTGGCAATTGCTAAGAGTGTCTTGCCACTGTAAGCAGCCTGGGTTATAGCTTTAGCCTGACGTGTGCTCTTGAAAAAATAAACAGATTGAGTGTCCACGCTTACGGAATAACGGTGAAATGTGGTTTGAAAGGAGGCGCAGGTTTCATGGTTCCAAGCGACCAATTTCAATTCCACATCAAATCCAGTTTTCCACAAAACAGCACAGTCAAAAAACTGTTAGGCCTAAACCCAGCTTCCACATTACACTCACTGGCTCCCCCTACTGCCATTAAAAGGAACTGCACTTAACCTGGCCCCACCCAAACACACACACAATAAAGTATAGGTGCTTACCAAAACAAAATTATTAACATTTTCTGAATGGGAAATAAAACGGCCTTTACAATTATCCTTTGAAAATAGAAGAATTTTAAAAGTAAAATTAGCTCTCCAAGACCATGGTTCTTGACTGGAGAAATTGTGTGTGGAGAGATGCAGGGGATGCATTATTATTATTATTAAGTCTGAGCGTCTCTGCTTTGACTGCTGCCCCCGCAACCCGGCAACGGATAAAGCAGAAGAAAATTGATGGATGAAAAACATATTTAAGATTAGGATTAAGAGATCCTTTAATTCAACCCCACAATAGGGCAAGTTCAGATTTATTTGACAAAAAGTAGCTTCACACAATCAATAACAATGTGTGTGAGCATTCATTATCTTTGAAGAAGAAGTGGGTTAAGTGTCTTGCCCAATGCCAGCAGACATCAGTGGGAGACAGTGGAGAAGGTCTTGTGGTGGACTCGAACCCACAACCTTCGGGCTCAAAGGCCAATGGTCTGCCAACTGATCTACTGTCGCCCCATATGAACAGATAGCTACATTTCAGATTCAGATTCATTCAGATTCATTTTATTTGCCATTTGCAGTAAAACAAAAACACATTGGAATACATTAGCAAAAGTCTCCAGTGTGCACAGACAAATACAGACTTCTTTTGATTTCTGTGTGTTTCCAAAGTAGATTTAGTTTTAATAGTTCAACATAACCTGGATGTTTACAGCTGCAGTCGGTAGTGTTCTGGAGGATGTGGATTCTCACCAGAAAGTCCATGTCATGTCAGTTTGAAGTTTAGTGCCATCTTTATCAGTGCAGGAGGCATCGAGGATCTCCGTACGGCCGAGTCTAGACTTGCAAAGTGACGGCAGTCCAGTTCAGTCAGGTCATGTTAGCGTTGAAAGCTACAGGTATCACCATAAACTGTCATCACACAAAGAAATGCAAGTGAGGAGAAGGCCACGTGTCCTTGGAGATGAGCTGTGTGCTTTGGAAGAAGAAAAGTCTGAGGAAGTTTAAAGTAAAGCTTGTGTTTGTCATTACATCAGAAATCCTTGAAAAGTACATTTCAATATTCTTCTTTCATTGAAGTGATGATCGATTTGTGCTGTCGTCAATCCAAAACAGTTTAGTTTCACTACACAGACTGCATTCGATTCCATGAAGAAAAAATAAGTAAAATGTTCTGCGTAGTACCTTCTTTCGGAATAATTTCAAAAACAAAAGGTGTGTGAGTCCTGGGTCTACGGCCTCAGTCTTGGGTCTACAGCCTCAGTCCTGGATCTACAGCCTCAATCCTGGATCTACAGCCTCAGTCCTGGGTCTACAGCCTCAGTCCTGGGTCTACGGCCTCAGTCCTGGGTCTACGGCCTCAGTCCTGGGTCTACGGCCTCAGTCCTGGGTCTACGGCCTCAGTCCTGGGTCTACGGCCTCAGTCCTGGGTCTACGGCCTCAGTCCTGGGTCTACGGCCTCAGTCCTGGGTCTACGGCCTGAGTCCTGGGTCTACGGCCTCAGTCCTGGGGGCCTCAGCCCTGGGTCTACGGCCTCAGTCCTGGGTCTACGGCCTCAGTCCTGGGTCTACGGCCTCAGTCCTGGGTCTACGGCCTCAGTCCTGGGTCTACGGCCTCAGTCCTGGGTCTACGGCCTCAGTCCTGGGTCTACGGCCTCAGTCCTGGGTCTACGGCCTCAGTCCTGGGTCTACGGTCTCAGTCCTGGGTCTACGGCCTCAGTCCTGGGTCTACAGCCTCAGTCCTGGGTCTACAGCCTCAGTCCTGGGTCTACAGCCTCAGTCCTGGGTCTACAGCCTCAGTCCTGGGTTTACAGCCTCAGTCCTGGGTCTACAGCCTCAGTCCTGGGTCTACAGCCTCAGTCCTGGGTTTACAGCCTCAGTCCTGGGTTTACAGCCTCAGTCCTGGATCCACAGCCTCATATTTTAACACAGACTATATTTTTGTGTGTTCTGACTATTTTCTTTTCTTGATGAATCAACAACGCTGTGAAACCCTTTGAGATGAGATAAGAGATAAAATAACCCTTATTTGTTTTTGTCCGTTCTTCTGCTGAGATTGTGATTTTGGGCTTTAAAACATAAAACACATAGAATGTTAATCTGAGACAATCCGGCTTCCTCTACACATTTGTTCAACTGCAGATTATACAGTCAGAAAGCATCGCAAGTTGCCAGTTTCTTGGGAAGTCTTACTGGTGGTTACTATCCAAAATCTACCACTTGATAATTTTACATGCATTTGTCTAATATAATATTCCACCAGCAAGACGACAAATTACATCCTATTCCTTTAAATGTCACTTGAGCATGCTGCCCACACATGCTTTCTCTTTACTAGGGGACGGTAAATACTGAGATTCAGACCTGAAATCTCTATTTTTCTAGTTGCATTGAGAGCAGGACTGGGATAACACAGTGTTTTCTCAGTTTATGTAAATATCATTGTATTCATGGACACACAATAACACACACACACGCTGTTTTTGACCAGCAATAACAGATAACACTCCGCAGCGTCGCATCCTTATCGCCGCGTTTTGCACTCGCCGCCAATGTCAACAGCTTACACTCTATTACAGCTCCGAGCCGTTTGGGGACCGCTCCCGACTGTACCACCGTGCTCCCAGTCCGCCGCCAAACACACAATCAAACACACAATCAAACACATCAATCTATCGGCGGGATCAGCTCCTCCATCACGGCTCTCCAGAACTCTACCCCCTTCCCCCGCAGAGCCGTCCCGCCGTGAGGCTTAAATGCCATTTGTTGTCACCGCGCCGTTTTTTGGGGGGAATCGGCGAGTTCGGGCCCCGGTTTTTACGCAAGCACCAGGCGTGAAATGTTAGGAGGAAAAGCCATGTGTGTAAATGCCAACGAGGGGAAGAGCTTTGATGGCGAGGATATGAGAGATCTGATCTGAAATGAGTTCTGCCGCGGCGCTCGTTGCTCAAAGTCTTTAAGGTGAAAGAAAGTAACGGAAGAAAAACAGAAATGGGATCTTGAACGGGTCCGAGGAAAGTAATGTGTAGAAGGAGGCGTTGGTGAGACATTGTTTATTGAGCTTTTATCTAATAACGGCCTTTGATGAAAATGGAAAAGATGGATTATTTGGCGTCTTTTAGCTATATCTGCACACAAAGAAGATATCTGTAATCCGCTGCTGTGTCTGCACTATTTTCTGTTTAAATAAGTTCAATGAAAATCCCGACGGACAACAAATATAAAAACTGCACAGGAGGCTCATGGGAAGGGGCCAGTACCTAAGTAGCTTAGCAACGGCCTGATTTACCAATTAGCATGTGGTCATGGAGAGCAAAATGACAGAACAGTGGGTGATAAATACTATTGTCCTCTTACGTCACATTATCTAGACACTGTCACTCCATTTGACATTTTTCAGAGGATTGTTCTTGTTGTAAACTGCACATTTTCAGAATATTGCACCAAACTGTGACAATAACTTGTTCAGTGAATTTAGGCCTCAGGCTTTGAAATCTCTGAGATGTTGTTGAGGTAAAGGGATTGGATCAACAATAAATCATGTCCTTGTGTGTGGAGTGTGGTTCTGTGATAAGTTATAATGTGTGTACCTTCAGTGTAGTGTGTCACTATCCTTGGAGCATATTCAGCTCATTTTAATGTTCAACATTAACAATTTGTCACGTTTTTGTGTGAATATTGTAATGACCTCCGCGGCCGCTAGAGGGCGACATTACTCAGTGGCCCGTCTGAGAAATGGCGCCCTCTTCAGGGAACTTCTTTATACAGCCTTTAATGCTGTTTATGTATGTTGTGTTTATTAATAATATTTGACATGTACTGAATATGAGAGTGTATATAAGAACACATCCTGTTAGAAGAAGTTATTGAATAATATGTTTGGTTCTTCATAGTATTAGTCTGTGTTTGCAGACTATCGTTCTGTGCAGCTGTAATAAATATTGGAGCTTCAATCCAGTCTCTCCCTACCTTCCTCTCCGACGTCCTGATCGACGCCCATCGTGTTTCATGTTTGAACCATAAGAATTAGCACCATACAGTCCATCCTCCGTAACACAAGCATTTAGGACAAAGTCTGCTCCTTTAATAGAGCTTTTGAGTTGGAAACAACCAAAATACACCAGGTGGGATTGAACAGAACTAAATGTAATCTAAAGTCAGATCAGTGTTAGTGTTTCCTTTGTTCTCACTGTGGTTTTGAAGAAGCAGCTTCAAGACTGAAGTCTGGTGGCTCAGGCATAGACCAGTCACTCTTCAGGGACACAGCACTGGACACTGAGGATCTGTGTGGAGAGAAAGACCATGTTACTCTGGGTCCATGGTTCAACCATCAACAGAATACAAACATTTGGACTTTGTTAAATGACTGCGGTCAAACAATCCATAATCAAGTGAAATCATGATTTAAAAAGAATATTAAATCATGTGTCATTTTAGATTCAGATCAACAGAAGGACTTAAAGCAGATGGAAGCGAGTCCTGAGCTCTAACCACTGCAGTCCCTGTGTCTGAAAAGCACATTCAGAATCCTCTTTTCAAAGCAGTTCATAATAGTCCAGACTAAACCACTGACATCAGTGCATTTGTTCACACGGCTCTCGCTGACGACGAGAGGAACACGTTTCTGCTGCTTGGTTTCAGTCATTTAGAAATATATATATATATATATATATATATATGAACCTTTCAACATTTTGCCACATTTCAGGCTCCAAACATAAAGATATAAAATTTTAATTTTTTGTCATGAATCAACAACAAGTGGGACACAATCGTGAAGTGGAACGAAATTTATTGGATAATTTAAACTTTTTTAATAAATAAAAAACTGAAAAGTGGGGCGTGCAATATTATTCGGCCCCTTTACTTTCAGTGCAGCAAACTCACTCCAGAAGTTCAGTGAGGATCTTTGAATGATCCAATGTTGTCCTAAATGACTGATGATGATAAATAGAATACACCTGTGTGTAATCAAGTCTCTGTATAAATGCACCTGCTCTTTGATAGTCTCAGGGTTCTGTTTAAAGCGCAGAGAGAACCATGAAGACAAAGGAACACACCAGGCAGGTCCGAGATACTGTTGTGGAGAAGTTTAAAGCCGGATTTGGATACAAAAAGATTTCCCAAGCTTTAAACATCTCAAGGAGCACTGTGCAAGCAGTTATATTGAAATGGAAGGAGTATCAGACCACTGCAAATCTACCAAGACCCTGCCGTCCCTCCAAACTGTCATCTCAAACAAGGAGAAGACTGATCAGAGATGCAGCCAAGAGGCCCATGATCGCTCTGGATGAACTGCAGATAACTACAGCTGAGGTGGGAGAGTCTGTCCATAGGACAACAATCAGTCGTGCACTGCACAAATCTGGCCTTTATGGAAGAGTGGCCATTTCTAAAAGATATCCATAAAAAGTCTCTTAAAGTTTGCCACAAGCCACCTGGGAGACACAAACATGTGAAAGAAGGTGCTCTGGTCAGATGAAACCAAAATCAAACTTTTTGGCCACAATGCAAAACGATATGTTTGGCGTAAAAGCAACACAGCTCATCACCCTGAACACACCATCCCCACCTCAGCTGTAGTTATCTGCAGTTCATCCAGAGTGATCATGGGCCTCTTGGCTGCATCTCTGATCAGTCTTCTCCTTGTTTGAGATGAAAGTTTGGAGGGACAGCCGGGTCTTGGTAGATTTGCAGTGGTCTGATACTCCTTCCATTTCAATATAATTGCTTGCACAGTGCTCCTTGAGATGTTTAAAGCTTGGGAAATCTTTTTGTATCCAAATCCGGCTTCAAACTTCTCCACAACAGTATCTCGGACCTGCCTGGTGTGTTCCTTTGTCTTCATGGTTCTCTCTGCGCTTTAAACAGAACCCTGAGACTATCAAAGAGCAGGTGCATTTATACGGAGACTTGATTACACACAGGTGCATTCTATTTATCATCATCAGTCATTTAGGACAACATTGGATCATTCAAAGATCCTCACTGAACTTCTGGACTGAGTTTTCTGCACTGAAAGTAAAGGGGCCGAATAATATTGCACGCCCCACTTTTCAGTTTTTTATTTGTTAAAAAAGTTTAAATTATCCAACAAATTTGATTCCACTTCACGATTGTGTCCCACTTGTTGTTGATTCATGACAAAAAAATAAAATGTTATATCTTTATGTTTGAAGCCTGAAATGTGGCAAAATGTTGAAAGGTTCAAGGGGACCGAATACTTTCGCAAGGCACTGTAAATGTTCAGACCTGCAAACTCAGAGTAAAGAGGCCAACGCCAAATAATGAACTGCATTCTACTGCATTTCAGAACTTTACTATTTACTTATACTTTAGTTACAGCTTCTCAGTAAAACAAACTTTGTTTATAGAATTCTAGTTGAATAGAATTCTGTCCCTGAGCCACAGAAGAAGACAACACAAACAGTCCTGTGCTCCTAAAGGGGAAAGGTTTGCAGCTGTTTCTGTAGTGTTTGTGCTGTAGAACTGACTGGACTGAAACATGATACTCACTTTGTTCTGACGCAGACACCTGGCTCAGTGCTGCCCCCTGCTGCTTCTTCACTGATGGTTCCTGGTATCTGCTCTCTCTCTGAAGCCATGGTCACATTCACTCGGCTGGAGGAGAAACCACAGATATATTTCACTGTTTACATGTGAACTGTTTTAAAAAGGCTGTAATCATTTACATAAACTACTATAGAGACATTAGCACAGGCCTAAACTTCAGGCCAGACTTCATTTCCTGCTTCAGTCCAACACTTTGATAAAGACAACACTATGTTAAATCACTATGAAGAGAAACTGTTTTCTACACAAGTGGATCACAATCACAAACTATAAGATCATAATAATAAACATTAAAGTAAAGTCAGACTCACCGTCTCAGACACGTCTCAGTCCAAATACTTTCACTTTCAGATGTGACGTCACCAGCCCAGCCCTTCTGTTTCAGAGGAAACAAGTGTCTGCCCTGTGTGTGCGTCACAGAACCAGCAGGGGGCGCAGGAGACTCATTCAAACTGAGCCTCTCTGTCGTAAGCTACATGTGAAAAATGTGAAGGACACAGAGGTTTCCTGCTGTTGGTGCCACTGTGGAAGAGAACAGTTTACACATGTCTTTAAATATGTTTAATAAACCTGTATTTTACATTAGTTACTGTCACTGACAGGAACACAGCTACTGGAAAAACACTTTCTCTGTCAGACTCTGATCTCTGATCCACACTGATCCAGACTGATCTAAACTGTCTGATCTAAACTGATCCAACCTGTTTGATCCAGACTGATCCAGACTGATCCAAACTGTCTGGTCCAGACTGATCCAAACTGTCTGATCAAGACTGATCCAGACTGAGCTAAACTGTCTGATCCAGACTGATCCAAACTGATCTAAACTGATCCAACCTGTTTGATCCAGACTGATCCAAACTGTCTGATCCACACTGATCTAAACTGATCCAAACTGTCTGATCCACACTGATCTAAACTGATCCAAACTGTCTGATCCAAACTCTCTGATCCAGACTGATCTAAACTGATCCAAACTGTCTGATCCAGACTGATCTAAACCGATCCAAACTTTCTGATCTAAACTGTGTGTGGCCCACTGCCCTTACACAAAAAATTAAAAATCCATGACATTATTCTACTGTTAGTATCTATACTGTTTAATTTGAATGGATCATTTCTCAGACTGTACAGATCCATGTTTTATTATTATCATGATAATATTATATATATAAATATATATATAATAATCATTTATTCATTTATTGATCTTTCTTAAAGTGATTGTCTGGAGTTTGTCAGAAAGAGAGACAGAGAGGTACTTGATTTGAAAAAAACGACGCAAGCTCCCTCCCCCTTCCTTTCTGATTGGTCTACACCTACGTTTCCGTAACACTTTGAAATGTTAATCAGAGAACACATTATACATATACATTATTAATACACATGCACAGAGGTTTTCAGAATTATTTGTGAACGTTTTAGAGAAAAAAATAATGTTTTTATACACAAAAAAAGCGATCGCGGCAAACCAGGAAGTGCTATTATTATGAATTGCATATTATAGGACACATCTGCAGAGGATCTGATTATGGATATAGGTTCAGTATATACATAAGTACCTGAGCGCGGATGTTCAGAATTCTTTGTTCAGTTTTCATGTAGTGCAGAGCCTAATAGAGGCTTGATTCGGAGGCTCCGCAAAAACAAACAACTGAGCATGCGCGCAGCTGCGAGCATCAGCGCCGATGATTGACAGCCCTTGGCATGACTCGATTGGTTAAACTCGACGGCACCGTGGATTCTGAACTATAGCTAAGAGGAAGGAAGGCGGGACTTGCCCGTAATATTAGAATTAATAAAATGACTTGTTTTATATCAATATTTAAGGCCAGGAGGTCAATTTAACACATTTCCTAAAATGTTTAATTCATTTAGAGTTACAGACTATCACTTTAAAGGTCCTATATAATAATATGAGTCCTTTAAACCCGGAGAGTCCCACTGAGACTTCAGAGTCTTTCAGGAGAGTCCTGGCCCCAGACAGAGGGGAACTATTCTACATGTTTTTAGAGGAAGCTCTTCAAAGAGGTTTTAGGGCACGCTGCCAATAAAGCGTTACAGTAGTCAAGTCTTGAGGTGACAAAAGTGTGAATAAGTTTTTCCGCGTCACTTTTAGGAAGGAAATTCCTGATTTTGGCGATGTTCCGTAAGTGGAAGTACGGCGTTTTAGTTGCTTGGCTTATATAAGCCTTGAAGGAGAGTTCTTGGTCAAAAATGACTCCAAGATTCCTCACAGTGTTACTGGGTATAATACTGACATTATCAGAGTGATTATCTGGTTAGTGAGGAGTCACGCAGGTGCTTCGGACCGAGTAGGATCACTTCTGTCTTCTCCGGGTTGAGAAGTAGGAAGTTAAGAGTCATCCACGTTTTAAGGTCCTTTATGCAGCACTGAGCTTTTCTAGCTGATCTGTCTGATTTGGCTTCATCGACAGATAAAGCTGTGTGTCATCTGCATAGCAGTGGAAATTAATTCCATGCTTTTTAATGATGTTTCCTAACGGCAGCATGTAGAGAGTGAAAAGAATCGGTTTGAGTACCCCGAATTCCACTCCAGAATAAGGCGACGAGTTCTGATTTACGTTGACGAAATGATACCGATCTGATAAATAGGATTTAAACCAGCCAAGGGCTGTTCCTCTAAGACCTATATCACATTCTAGCCTCTGCAGTAGAATGCTGTGGTCTATTGTGTCAAATGCAGCACTATACCATAACGAGAGACCAGGAAGGACATGTACGAGACTGACCATAACGAGAGACCAGGAAGGACATGTACGAGACTGACCAAAACGAGAAACCAGGAAGGACATGTACGAGACTGACCAAAACGAGAGACCAGGAAGGACATGTACGAGACTGACCAAAACGAGAAACCAGGAAGGACATGTACGAGACTGACCATAACGAGAAACCAGGACGGACATGTACGAGACTGACCATAACGAGAAACCAGGACGGACATGTACGAGACTGACCATAACGAGACACCAGGAAGGACATGTACGAGACTGACCAAAACGAGAAACCAGGAAGGACATGTACGAGACTGACCAAAACGAGAGACCAGGAAGGACATGTACGAGACTGACCAAAACGAGAAACAAGGAAGGACACGTACGAGACTGACCATAACGAGAAACCAGGACGGACATGTACGAGACTGACCAAAACGAGAGACCAGGAAGGACATGTACGAGACTGACCAAAACGAGAAACCAAGAAGGACATGTACGAGACTGACCATAACGTGAGACCAGGAAGGACATGTACGAGACCGACCATAACGTGAGACTAGGAAGGACATGTACGAGACCGACCATAACGAGAGACCAGGAAGGACATGTACGAGACTGACCATAACGTGAGACCAGGAAGGACATGTACGAGACTGACAATAACGAGAGACCAGGAAGGACATGTACGAGACTGACCATAACGTGAGACCAGGACGGATTGCTTCTGGAGCTTTCTCTACAGAGGGAATGATGTCATCCTCGGGCTTGTCTGTAGCTGATCAGGGCCAAAACCAGGGGTTTCAGAGTCAATGTCAATGCAAGAAACATCAGTATTTAAGACCCTTCACTTCATGGACCACACACGGCCCCAGGACGGTCTCATGGTTCTGCTCCTTTGTGTGTTTCAATAAAACAGACTCTCCTCACGTCGACGTACCTCAAAAACAGGTTAATATTGTTAGAGTTGGGCCGTGCAGTGATGTCACTTCTACTCACTCTCCACAGTGATCACAGAAACAGATACGTGTCCAACCCATAGACTGTATATATTAACGGACAGAGTCACTCCTATCTCCGCCGTTCTAATGGGCCAAAAATTGTGCTCTACTGGAGCTATCCAAAATGGCCGCGAGTGGTCCCGCCCACAAGAAAATGTTGAAAAAACGCATCTGCGCATGCGTCAGCCGGCCCAGCTCCATTCATTTGAACGAGAGACTTCAAAAATTCACAGCAAGTAAACTAGAGTGGACCAAAACACCCCCCTCAGCATTGACACACATGTGGAACGGAGCTTTGGGCCAAGACCCAGCTTTTGGTCCATCCTGTAAAAACGTTTTCCAGAGGTCTGCCAATGCTATATGTTAGCATTGGCTAATTCTTCTTCTGGGTCCACCCCCACAGGCCCGGGGTGGTATTGCAGCATGTCAGTGCACGTCATTTTGGCCACTTTTGAGCTGGGACCCGCCCCCACTGGTCTAACCCTGTGTTTTTCAACCTTTTTTGATACATATAAATAGTTACCCTACAAAATGTAAATATATATAAATAATCATATAATAATCATAGTGCATTAAAAAGATTAAAGATAAAAACAAATATAAAATCATTCACTTGTATGCACAGCTAAAAAGAACTGTTTTCAGTTCAGTTTTAAAAACTGCTAGAGTAGACGTGTGATGGCAAGCTGCATAGACTCGGGGACGCCAACTTACCCCCCCTGCTGCTCTATTCAATTAACCTGCAGGAAGGAGCCGGGCTTCCCCCCGCACCTACAGACAATGACTGTCTCACCCTTGTCCCTTTGCATCTTGCATCTGTATGTCTGCATCTCTACATCCTGCATATCGATTGTCTCTCTGTTTGCATCTGATTGCCTCCCCACGGGCATGGCGCCTCGCCTCTGGATGCGCCTCCTGTACTGGTGACCCCCTCCCATCTTTTGTGGGCGGGACTGTCTTTCATGTGTTGTCTATGTAAACAGGAACCTGGTCTGCCCGCGTCAGAGCTTATGGACGCTGCTTTGTGTATGTGAGCTCTCCGCACGTGTGTACAATAAACTTACGCTCCTGATTAAGACAAATACCTTTGAGTTTTCTCCTTCATTGGGGTATGTAATTCTACAACAGACGCCTGTCTCACACTCTCGGAAAGACGGTTCCAGACTCTAGCTGCATGAATCTGAAACGCAGCCTCCCCATGTCTAGTTCCGACTCTTGGCACTAACAGAAGTCCAGTCCCTGTGCTCCTCAGAGCCCGAGTTGGTTCATATGGCACCAACATGTCGCGGATGTACCCTGGTGCGAGGCCATGGAGAGACTTGTACACAAGTAAAGCTACTTTAAAATCTATTCTCTGAGCCACAGGAAGCCAGTGCAGAGACCTGAGGACCGGACTAATGTGGTCGTACTTCCTGGTTCTAGTCAGGACTCGAGCTGCAGCATTTTGGATGTACTGCAGCTGTTTTACCGCTTGTTTAGAGAGACCTGTGAACAAGCCATTGCAGTAGTCCAATCGACTGGAGACAAATGCGTGGATAAGAATCTCCAAGTCTGCTTTAGACACAATGTTTTTAATTTTAGCAATGTTTCTTAGGTGGAAGTAAGCTGATGATGTCACAGATGATATGTGGCTATTGAAATTTAAGTCTGAGTCCATTATTACTCCTAGATTTCTGACCTGAGTTGAGGGTTTTAGGGAGAGAGACTGGAGGTGGCAGATAACGCTCTCTCTTTGTTTTTGAGGTCCAAAAACAATAATTTCAGTTTTTTTCTGTGTTTAGCTGGAGAAAGTTATTTTGCATCCAATCACTGATTTGTTGGATACAGTGAAGGAGCGAGTCCACTGGTCCATGTTCTCCTGCTGTCAGGGACACATAGACCTGAGTATCGTCAGCATAATTGTGATAGGACACGTTATTACTGTGTATTAACCTACCCAGAGGCAGCATGTAAATATTAAACAGGAGAGGCCCCAGGATTGAGCCCTGTGGCACTCCGCAGGTTAGGGCCAGATGGTCTGAGATACAGTTTCCGATCTCCACAAAATACTTTCTGTCCTGTAGGTAGGATATAAACCAGCTTAGGGCTGTTCCAGAAACACCAACCCAGTCCTCAAGTCTCTGAATGAGGATACCATGATCGACAGTGTCGAAAGCAGCACTTAAATCTAACAGGATAAGAACTGAGACTTTTCCTGCGTCAGTGTTAAGTCTGATGTCATTTGAAGTCCCCAGGTTGAGGACGAAACGTCGGGAAAACTTGCTAAGAAGTACAGATGATGGGTGAGAAACCTTCCTTTGCTTTGACTAATCCCTGTACGACTGAGAGCTTACACAAACTTATCGTTGCCAACTTTGGGAGAGACGCCCTGGTCTTGGCACGCGGGTTGGAGAAAATCAAAAGAAAACTAGCAGACGCCAGAAATCATCTTAGGTTTAATCTTAGGTGTAGCCAGAGTAAACTTATCCCAAAATGTTTAAAGCAAAAAGCATTAGAAACAGGCCAGTTGGCAAGAAAAATACAACAAAACTACTGTATGAAGATTCTCAATTTAAGAATTCGACGACTTAACATAGAGATTATAAACCTGGGTCTGATGACTGCCGTTTTCAGGGCCATTGGGAATGTTCCAGATTCAAGAGACATATTTACTATATGCGTGAGTGAAGGTAAAAGACTGCTCAGAACAGATTTAAGAAATCTAGGAGGTAATACATCCAGGCTACATGTAGAAGAACTCAGACTTGTAATTATCATTTGGACAGTTTCATTTTGTACTGGTGTAAAGTGTGTCAGCCCAAAAAGCTTCACTGGCTGTTGGATTGTAATTTCTACTGTGGAGGTGATGGCATTTTTGATGCCTTGGACTTTGTCATTAAAAAACTCTGCAAACTCATTACATTTGGTTTTGGAGGTAAGCTCTGATGGCATCTTAACAGGGGGATTTGTCAATTTATTTACCGTTGAGAACAGAATGCGTAGATTGCCACTACAACCTTCGATTGTTTCGGAAAAATAAGTTTCCCTCGTTCTACGTAGCACACTGTTGAACTTGCACAATGCATCTTTGAAGATCTCATGGTCAACTTGGAGATTTGACTTTCGCCACTTCCGCTCGGCTCTCCGGCACTCTCTCTTCTGTGCCCTGACAGAGTCTGCTTTTGTCCATGGCGCCTTTTGCTTATTTGTAACAATTTTGACCTTTACAGGAGCAATCGTGTCCAGAACATCCAAAACACTAGAGGTGACAGAGTTAAGTAATTCATCCACAGTAGAACACAACGTGTTATCAAAGTTTATCATCCCCATGAAAAGTTCACCTGTATTTTTGTTTATGTGTCTTCCTCTTCTAACAATTGAGGATTCAGCTCGTGCTTTACTATTGAGACACATATCAAAAAATACACAGAAATGATCTGACAGAGCAACATTGGCCACATTTACATTTGAGATATTAACCCCTTTAGTAATTAGCAGATCGAGAGTGTGTCCTCTGCTATGGGTGGGGCCACTCACATGCTGAGTGAGACCAAAGGTTTCCAGCAGAGAGCTCAGCTCTTTCGCGTATCTATCATTAACGTTATCTACATGTATATTAAAATCACCTATGACGACTAAACTATCAAAGTCTGTGCACACAACTGAATGTATCTTATATGTATCTATACGTTACAAAAATCGTTGAATTCGCCAAAACAGATTAGAGTCAAGTCAAACATAAACAATGCATTGATAGAAAAAAACATGAAATGTCAGTAAAACAATTTGGCACAGTTTGGCACAAAGTGGGGCAAAGTGGGACAAATAAAGAATCTCTTCATCTTAATCAAATTGGTTCCGAATGTCACAACTCGATGAAAAAGAGAAACTGCAAAAAACTATAAAACCTAGAAGTCTGAATGTTTAAACAGTTGTTACAAACAAAACAATAAGGTTTGAGTCTTGTGAACTTACAATGAAGTGGGCTTTTGTTCGGACCTTTAGTGTTAGTGTTTTTAAATTACCAAAGACATTTGGGTGTGTCCAACTTTTGTGCTCGAGCCAAAATGATGCGGGAGGATACAGTCCGTGTCAAAGTTTAATGTTTCGTTGAATAAATTACTTCTTCGTTCTCACCACAGTCTCTCAGATGTTTTTGGACGATACTCAAGAGTTGGTATTTTGTCTTTTGCAGTTTCTACTTCTATAAAAGTGGAGTGACAGTAGCTCAGTTGGTAGAGCAGAAGGTCGTGGGTTCAATTCCCACCTCTGCACCTTCTCCACCGACTCCCACTGATGACTGCTGTCGTTGTGTCCTTGGGCAAGACACTTAACCCCACTTTGCCCAAAGCCCCCACTGAAAGATCAAGGCTATGCTCACACTCAGAGAGCAGCCGTCCTCCTGTGGACTCACCACCTGCAGAGGGTCAGTGAGGGGCTGGTGCTATGAGACTTGGGTGGCATCTCTGACTGCCACCCCCCTGACCCAGAAATGGATTAAAGGGTAGAAAATGGATGGATGGATGGATGGTTACTTCTATAAAAGGTCTCAGGTAACTGACAACAACATGCTGTGGGTCCAGAAAAAGTCAGAATCTAACTGTGATAAAGAAGTCCATTGTCCAGTTCGACATTTAAACAATTATAGACTCATGTTTGTTTGGATTGAAGCAGAGACTTCTCTCTGATTCTAACAAGTCTGCTCCCACAGCCCAGTGTTACAGCCCTACTGTTTACATGCTCGACCTTAATAAGCTCGCTTGTTACTGCCGTCCATATTCCTTCTCCGACCACAGAACACTACTTTTCTGTCTTTCAGGAGTTTCTTTCTGTCAAAAACAAAGATTCGCTTTGAGCAAATTAGTCCAAACCGCAACAACAGCGGCGCTCCCTTCAAACCCAGGTCTAATGGAATGTTTGCAGCCCACAGGTAATTAGAGGGATGTGTCCTGGAAAAGGTCGAGAACCCAGCCGCAAATTGGAGAAGCAAACAAGTCTAAGCTTACATCAATAGTTTTTAAAGCACAAATATTTATTCAACGGTAAAATCTCAACAGCAGTTTTCAGCAAGAAACAAAGGACACAAGAAATACTTTGCTCGGACGGACTCGGTAAGAATCTCGTTGCTTTTTAGACGTGTTTGCATCTCGGGCCTTCATCAATCTCTGGTCTGGATTTCGCTTGTGCCAATCAGCTGCCAATGTGTAGAGATGCTTTGAAATAGTCCGTTGTAGTAAAACCATGGATCTACTGTATGATAATATTTGGATAGAGTATTACTAGCTTATTGCTGTCCTACCCATGGCCACAGGGAGCGCTGTGGTACTGCAGACTAAATTGACGTGGGCTACCCAGAAAAAAGTCCCATAGATCTCAATGTAAACTAAAACAGCTCGACTTCAGCTGACAGAGAACCTGACAGAGAACCTGACAGAGAACCTTCAGCTTTCATAAATGTTGTATGTGGGGATTGTAGTGTCCCTTCTCATCCTGAACTTTTTTTCTTCTTAAAGCTGCACTAACTGACTTTATTTTCGTATTAATTACGAAAATGCTATCCATGTCCATGCAGTGCATTGGGATATACGTCCTTTTGAAGAAAAAGTAGCGCAGATTTGTGCTGGCGTGACATTATATTTTCGATCGAGTTTTGATGAAACAAGGAAGAGAATGTGTTTCGGGTCGCAGATTGTGACCAATCACAGCGCAAAACTAGCCCCCACTTTCGTGAGAAATCTCCAGGTCCGTTAGCACAGACAGCTGAGTTAGCACAACAAGCCGAGGAGCTAACCTGAAGCTACCTCGTCTTCGTCACCGGTTACTGCTTACACAGTGAGACAGCCATCCAAAAGAAAGTCCCGTTCCTCTGCACTTCCCGATTCTATTGTTCTATGGTCACGCCATCCACGTGCAAATCCATATCCATGTATTATCCATATTGGGAGACGCTAGCTCCGTCTCAACACTGTGTGTGTGTGGGGGGCCATAGGTTCGTGGGTGCGGGGAGGGGAGCAGAAAGAGCGAGGCCAGCGAGTCCGCGGCTTCAAAATCCCAAAGTCAGTTAGTGCAGCTTTAAATCCTTCTGTTTTCTTTAAATCCACACTTTACTGCCACAAACTCTGCTCCTTTCCTTCCCGCTCTGACTCCGCTCTTTGGCTGCTCTCATCAGCCTCTCCATCCTCAGCCAATCACAAAGCTCTGCCAGCGCCCTTTCCAACCTATGACAGTGAAGCGGGCCCTTTAAAAGCAGCCACGTCCTACTTACCAGCGCTACTTGAAGCTCTTGCTCTGGCTCCTCCTCTATGGCTCCTGCTCTGGCTCTTGCTCAGGCTCCTGCTCTGGCTCCTGCTCTGGCTCCTGCTCTGGCTCCTTCTCTGGCTCCTGCTCTGGCTCATGCTCATGCTCTGGCTCCTGCTCTGGCTCATGCTCTGGCTCATGCTCTGGCTCATGCTCTGGCTCATGCTCTGGCTCCTGCTGTGGCTCCTGCTGTGGCTCCTCCTCTGGCTCCTGCTTTAGCTCCTGCTTTAGTTAATCTTCAATGATCTCCCTTTTGCAAGAGTCACTGCCGCAGTCAATGCACCAATCAATAATCTTTCTAAAATATGTTTTGTGTCTGTTCTAGTCTCTCCAGATTTAAGTGTATTTAACACCAACACACTGTATGTTATTGTTTTCATAAGAGAGGGACCAAAGAACTAGCAGTAAAACATGATTTTGGGAGATTTTTGCCACTTAACATGAAATCCAAAGGGTCAAGAAAGACTGTTTTGAGGGCCGCATTGGGCTCGCGGGCCTTGGTTTGTACATGCCTGCCCTGATGCACTGCACATACCTTCAAAGGACATCTTTGCATCTGCCAGACACACGTTATAGAACTAATACATGTTTTTTTAACCTTTGTCTGTGTTGATTAAAATATTGGCGTTCTGAAATTGTTTTATGTAGAAAGCAGCATTTCCCTTCTCCACATCCCAGAGGACCACGACTCAAACCCTCCCGTCTCATGCTCCATCTGCTGGCTCTTCATGTGCGGAATCGTGTTTAAGACCACTGCAGGTTTTAGCACTTTAGTGATAGAAATAAAGTGTCATGAGAGTTAGGACATATTTTACTACATACTTTCATTTCAGAACGTTTGGAAAGTCAGGCACCCCAGCTTTAAAACCCATTCTCCTCTTACAGTTAAAAAACACAGACCTGGTAGTTTCCTCGTCAAACCAATAACCTACTCACTTTTGGAGAAGCGTGGCGGGTTGTCGTTGACGTCGCTGAGTGTGATGTTGACCACGGTGGTCCCGGCGAGGCCCCCCAGCTGGCCCCCCATGTCTTTGGCCTGGATCCGCACCTGGTACTGCTCCTTCACCTCGCGGTCCATGTTGGGGAGGGCCGTCTTTATGATCCCTGCAAGACAATAGCCACACACACACACACACACACACATATATATGAAATGAAGAAGGAGCTATGGAGCCGCCACGCAGGCACCGGCAGACGTCATAAATCCAAACGTACACACGAGTGGGAAGCATAAAACGTGTGACATATATCGATGCTAAATGCCAAACCTGCCTCTTTATGTAATCCATCCACTTCAGGTCTGTAGCCTGGCTTATCGCTGCATAGATATCTGCAGTGCCGTCGCCGAACACAGAGGAGGCCGTGTAATTCAGTTTTAATGTAATGGTTATGTAAGCACCAAAGTTTTAAAAGAAATAAAACAAGTCGTGTTGGAAGTCGTGGATGATCCATATCTGCAGAAACCATGGAAGAATTTGTATAGAATCCTGATAAGTCCAAAAACGGCAATAATTTGGCAACATCTATCTTTTTATGAGCACATTCAGACCGTCTTAAAACAAGATTTGCTGATGGGACAAAGCGAATATATCTTATTTTTAAAAGATACAAAAAATGTTCAGTTGGAATGAGAATAAAAAGCAAAATGAAGCTTGATTTAAGACAGAATGAAAATCTTGTTTGAATGCAGTGAGAAAGATAGATTCAATCAATTATTACCTCATATTTTGTCATTTTTTTGCAGTGTTAGCATGTGTTTTGCATTTTTTTTCTCTTAAAAGCTCCGTTAATTTGTTCCAATAGAAATAGTCTCTAATTGGTTGGAAATCTCGCTTCTCAGCAAAAAGTTTCTGGGTTCGATTCCACCTTCACTTGAAATATCAACAAATTTCCAAAGAGAGAAATGTCCATATATAAAGGGACAGACATGAGTCCAGAATTCCTCTCCTGAACAATGAACAGACAGAACACATTCAGACGATTCCCTCCAGGCGCCGCGGCAGCCTCCCCCGGTTCCGTGAGCGCGGAGTGGGGTCACTGTACGGACTCCACACACTTGACATTCAGCGCGGGGCCGGTCCGTGGCGGTGGAAGCATTCAGCAGATCACAGGCCGGAGATGAGAGAGAGGAAGTCTGTGTCCCAGATTAAAGGCAGGGAGTCTGGGTGAGAGCCGACCGCGGGCTAACGGGCTAACAGGCTAACGCGCACCTACAGTAGCGACCACAAAAGAACGACGTCCCACTGCTCACGGCTTTTTATCGCAATTTTTCAAACAGACAAAAATAATGGATAAATCATAGGTGAAGGCAGAAAGTGAGATTTTCGGTCTTTCTTTGAACAGAGAGAGCACGGCCATCATCAGTAATTATACACTGCAAAAAATGATCACATATGAAGTAATAATTGCTTGAATCGAGTTTTTATCTTAATTTGTATTCATTCAGACTGTGTTAAAACAAAGAAACAAAGCCCTCGACTCTTATCGATGGATTTGGCATCAAGAACTGTTGAGACATTTCTTGTTTCTTTGAATTTTGCCAAATTTGAGCAATTTGACATATTTCATATAACTTTTTGTAGTGTGTGTCCTGACATTATAATAACAAAAAAGTTGAATGTTATCCAATCATACACACATTTATATTATAAGGACTATGGATATGAAATACTATCTACTACTATGAATAGTTGATAAAGCTGGTGTACCTAACTTTGTGATGAGTAAAGAAACATTCTTTTTATCCCATTTGAAAAAACAGAAAGTACATTTAAAAATTCAGACAACACGCTGTCTTTCATTTATTATAAATTGCAGACTTGTAAGTAAAACCCCTGTGAGTCACTATCTGACACTTTGGGCTGAGAGCTGATTGGCTGATTGGCTGTGGGAAGGTCTTTTTTCACTGTTCTGTCTGAAAAAAGCTAAAACGTGACAGATTCATGTTGTGAAAACTAGAGATGGAACCAAACCGCTTTGAACGTAACACCAATGCCACTCTTCTTACAAAGTGCCAATATTTGTTCTTTGAAAATTAGGTCCCCCAGCTTTAAGTGCCAAGAGATTATGCCAAACACAAATCAATACAAACACATGATGGATGAGAATAAAATAGGATTGGACGGACCACGCTGATGCTAATGTTATGCTAATGCTATGCTAATGTTATTCCAACTCGAGGCGACAGAGATGACCGCAGAAGCGCGACGAATTAAGCCAATGTTTTGGTCTATGATGTCACTTAAAGCTGAGATACTTAACTTCTAACTATACTGTAGTTTCCAGTTTGGCTTCATCACTAGTTTTCACATCAAGTGTTTCTGGCGTTTTTAGATCAGCTTTTTCAGACAGTAAAGTGAAAATGAGAGGGCCGCACTTGCTCAGCCAATCAGCAGCCAGTCACTGTTGTGGCCTAATTCTCTTTCCGTCGGGACAAACACAATGCATTTTCAATATTTCAAGATGACGTTTATTGTTGCCGTAGAAAAATGTGGTTGGGATTTGGCTTTAGACCCCGGCGGAGAACTGTGATGAGGCAGAAGGGGAAAGAGATTATGAGATGAAACCCCCCCCCAGGCCTAGACCCTGGTGATGGGAGCTCGGAGAAGGATGAAGGAGCTGGGACCCGGAACGATGCTGAGATGGGGAGGAGGAGGGTTGTGGCGTGAATAAAGCTGCAGCTTGGATGGATGTCACAGAACAATGTCTCTTTACCTCATGTCACTTTACTTATATACTTTTTATCCTGCACTATTTAACTGTACAGTATATAACTGCACTACTACATATATATTTTTTGACTGGTATTGAAGCATTTTCAGCATCTACAGCTAGTTATGTTAGCTAAGAAACATAGCTACTACTTATTTGTATATATTGTGTGTGCTCTTACTACTGTCCTGTCTGTGCGCTGCAACATCGAAATTTCCCCACTGTGGGACGAATAAAGGAATTCTTATCTTATCTTATCTGAATTCTTATCTTATCTTATCTGAATTCTTATCTTAACGTCGCAATATGAAGCTTGATGCGAGGCGTGTGGTGCTGCAGCTGAGAATGATTGACAGATGCTGTTGCCGTTAGCGACAGTGGGAGGACTTGGAGCTGTGAGCTTAGTTCTTCCAGTCAGAAATCCCGCTTTAGCTTCACATTTATGCCACACAGAGATACCCGAGCTTTAACAGCCTCATGGACTACAGCGCATTGAAGCAGTCACATTTCAAGATGAAGCTAACGTCATTAGCATTACATTCAGGGACTTCTTACAAAGTCGTAGAACATATAACAAAAGAAAGAGGATGTGATTTCTTTGAGATTTCTTTCAGATATGAATCCCATTCCTAAATATATCAGTTATTTTTGATCAGACCGTTGTCATAGTAATTGGAACACGATCTCATGTGACCCACGTACAAACAAGGTAAGCTCTCACTGATATAACGGCGGTTTGAAATCAAGAATAGAACCATTTCAATAATACAAACAGAACTCTCTCTTTGTGAAACGATGTGAACGAGTGAGAAAAAGCCTCCAGAGCAAACCATGACATTGGAAGTCTTTATTACATCAGGCTGTAAAAATATATACAGTATATATGTAGTTTTTTTTCTCTCTCTCTTTTCCCTGAGCACCTTAAACAAAGCCTTTCATCTTAAAGTTATTCCAACCGCTTTTTAAGAAATGTACTGGCAAAGTCCATGTGCATAATTTACACATCCAAAAGAAGATTTCATTGAGTCAAATCTTTAGTAAATGTTAGTACTAAAAACATGTTTGCTAGTTTAAAATCCTGCCGCTCTGGTCCTGACGAAGCCGAGCCTCAGTATTTGATTGGCTTTGGACGATGGGTCAAAAGCAGAGAACAACCTTAACCTAACCCTGAGTTAAAGTTATATCGGAGGATGTTCTACTTCCGGGTGGATCATCGAGACTAAAGGTCCATTCTGGTGACACAGGCTCGTCAAATATCAGCAAAGAGGTTTTTTCAGAAAGTCGAGTGTTTCCTAAAAATTGGGAAAATCCGCCTTTCTACCTTTAACTTTTGTCGTTGACTAAAACAAAATACCTGAAATCCCTAAGACTGAAACCTCAACTGTATGTTAGTGATGTGTCTTATTTATTACTTAATCGTTTTTAATTACTTGTGTGGTGTGGACTGTGAAGCGCTTTGTGTTGCCCTGTGTAGGAAAGGCGCTCTATAAATAAAGATTATTGATTTTTGACCAAAGGAAAAGTTATTTTTTGGGGGGAAATCTCAAAAGGTCTCAAGCAGCATTAGCTTTCTTTGTGTATTCATATTAAAAGAGCGCTCTAAGCCTTGACTGGAAAGTTGTAGCGTTTCACATGTTGACACTTGTTCCTATCAAATACATAAAAAACCCATAGAGCCATTGGTCCATAAAGGGCAGATGATCGATGCCCATACGCGTAGTCCTGGATCCTCACCTCTGACCTCTGACCCTCCTGCATCAGCAACAAAATACTCTACAACTAATAGTAAAGAACCCAGTGGGAGGTTTTGCCTTCTCTTGTAGATACTTGTAAGGCTGAACATGTATTTGGAAGTAAAAGTATTGATGTTCTTCCTTCACGGTCACTCCGCAGAATGACTCACGCCTCAAAATCACATTCTGATCCATTCAGACGAGGAGAGCACCGAGGTGAAGTGTGTTGCCCAAGGACAGCGCCGCAGTGTTCAGCAGAGGCCGCGGTGGTCCGGGCATCAACCTTGCTTTGGAGCTGCCCTTCCGTGAAATGTTGGCTAATATCAGGTGTAAGTACATGGCCTTGGTCTTGACTGACGGTCGCCTGAGACGCCGTAGTAACAAGGAAATGGTTTACCTCTGAGAGAAGTACTGTACTGGCTATTCACATACAAAAGTACACAATTCACATACAGAAGTACACAATTCATATACACAAACAGTGACTCTGGTTTGTGAAAGGGGCAAAATAAATAAAATAAAAAAATATATATATATAAATTAACAATATACTCTGAGGAGCACAGGGACTGGTCTCCTGCTGGGACTCTGAGGAGCACAGGGACCGGCCTCCTGCTGGGACTCTGAGGAGCACAGGGACCGGCCTCCTGCTGGGACTCTGAGGAGCACAGGGACTGGCCTCCTGCTGGGACTCTGAGGAGCACAGGGACTGGCCTCCTGCTGGGACTCTGAGGAGCACAGGGACCGGCCTCCTGCTGGGACTCTGAGGAGCACAGGGACTGGCCTCCTGCTGGGACTCTGAGGAGCACAGGGACCGGCCTCCTGCTGGGACTCTGAGGAGCACAGGGACCGGCCTCCTGCTGGGACTCTGAGGAGCACAGGGACCGGCCTCCTGCTGGGACTCTGAGGAGCACAGGGACCGGGCCTCCTGCTGGGACTCTGAGGAGCACAGGGACCGGCCTCCTGCTGGGACTCTGAGGAGCACAGGGACCGGCCTCCTGCTGGGACTCTGAGGAGCACAGGGACCGGCCTCCTGCTGGGACTCTGAGGAGCACAGGGACCGGCCTCCTGCTGGGACTAAATATATAAAATTAAATGTATTCATTCCAGAGGCGTTCCTATAGAGTTAGAGTCCCTTCAGCATGTCCTGCGTCCTCCTTGGCCCTTCTTCCATTGGGGAGTTCAGAACACGTCCCCAAGAAGGCTTCCCGGGCGCATCCCAAACAGATGCCCGAACCACCTCAACTGGCTCCTCTCAAAGTGGAGAAGCAGCGGCTCTACTCCGAGCTGGCTTCACCCAAATAGAACCAGAATGCCTGCTGTCCGTTGTTGTATTTATAAATACGTGACATTCTAAAACCATGTGTTTTATGACCTAGCTAACCTCTAAGTGGGAGGCCAGTCCTTCTTATTTTATTTTAGGTGTCTTCTTGTGCCAGCAACTGGACAACAGATGGATTCTCCTGTTTGGATTTCAACCCCCTAGTCTTGGCCTGCTGACTTATGCACTTTTCAACCTCACTCCATCAGGAGTCTGGCAGACGGAGGAAAAGGCTGGACCCTAGACCGGAAGCTGGCTGATAGGACACTCCCCTCCTTCCTGTTCTTTATATATGCTCTGGCTTGGGGAGACACAGAAGGATCAGCCGAGGGCCAGGAGAGGGACATATTAGTTTTAGGAGCACTCTTTTGTTGATTTCTGTATCTGATTGTAAAGATAATTAAATGCAGATGTTAACCTTTGAGAATCTTTTTGTCTGATTTCTGTATCAAATTGTGGACACGTCAGCCAAAGGGAATTATTGGCTTCATTTGGTGACCCGAGACGTGATTTGATACAGAAAGAAGACGCAAGATGAGCTCAGATATAGACTGGGTCCGTCGGCCGGGAGAATTCTCTCTTCTCTTCTCTCTTCTCTTCGAAAGAGGTAAGCGGATCGTTACTTTTGAAAATCTGCACATTGTTTTAAATGGAAGAGAGAGAGAATTCGGCTCGGCGGACTGCAGCGTGGCCAGACGACCGCCGTGACGGGCGATTCGCTATCGGACGCGATAGAACAATAGTCAGGTTTAGACGTTTTTGGCCTTGGGGGAAGCATGGGTCCCTCCAAAAAAAACAGAACATAGATGATGGATCAGAGCCACAGAGTTTATAAGTGCAGAAGAGGCACACCGTTTAGAGTGCAAAAGAAGCACACCGTTTTAAAGTGCAAAAGAGGCACAAGTGTTTAGAGAAATAGGATTAGAAAATAGGGACAGTTAGGGTCAGAAGTTATAGGATAATAAAAACTCCATATCCCCCGGGGGGGGCGGGGAAAAAGGGTACATTTAAACAGAAGAAAAGCCAAGTATTTAAAATGTGGATTCTGATAATAATGATCTTATTAATGAGAAAAAAGAGAGCCTCTTGGCTGTAGTATACGAGTTTCATGTGAAGAAATGAAATGGAAGTTTTTCTCTTATTCTGATGTAATGTTTAATAGTTACAGAGAATCAAAAAAAAAGAGATTCTGCTGGGACTATTAGTCATGTAAGCAAATAGTAATGTTTTCCATTACTGACGTATTTAAGGATAAAATGTAAAGTGTCGTTTGACGTGAGAAAAACTTTTACCACTGATTAAGACCTTGTCACGAGAAAAACGAGGAAAGTAATTACAGACTCCAGTATGTTCAGACTCCTGCTCTCCTTCAGTTCGAAGGTTTAAGAGATTAAAAAAATGGTAGACCTCTCCCTCCTCCCTTTCCGTCCTCATCTCTCGTCCGCACACACTCAGAAGCCGGATCCCCGTCTCTCTCACTCCAGCTGCGCCTCCTCGAGGCTAATCCAATAACCCATCGTTCATCTCTCCAGGCACTTCTCAAACCATAAGAAAACGTCCCTCACCATCCCTACGGAATCCTCTCTCTCTCTCAGATCTCTCTACTCTCTCTCTCTATCTCCTCTCTCGACTCTCATCTCTCCACTCGTCCCATCCTCCCCATGATACTCACATCATACCCTCCACGCGGACGCGTCTCTCTAAAGGCCTCGCCATCCCGAACGAATATAGATCTCTGCAACCCCACCATCTCACTAACCACGAAAAGCAAGCATCGTGATCCCCCTAAGTCCGTCGAGCACCCTCGGTCCAACGCGATCCGCCCATCTCCCCCTCACCCGAAACTCAGCATCGCCACTCTCCCTCGCCTAACCTCCTCCCTCAGCCGAAAGAGACCGGGACATCCAAACAAGTCGTCCCGAACTCATCCTCACTTCACAACAACGGTCTCTCCACGCCTCCTCGCAGCCGTCATCCCCTCACCTGCCTCCGGCAACCTCACCCAGCTCCCTCTCTAACCCCAACATCCCACTTCATCTCCTTCTCGGTACTCTCCTACCCTCTCTCTCCGCCGCTCTCACACCGCAGGGATTCTCCTCCGTCCTCCCAGCTCACTCTCACATCGGCGAAGTTCTCTCCCTCCCCACCCAATCCCTCGTCACCCCCCTCCCCTCACCGTACGATACTCAGCGAACACACTCGCCTCACCCGCCTCCCCTCTCTTCCTCCCACTATCCCACTGCCTCCTCATCTCCCTCGCCCACTCAACCAACAGAGCTCGGTGTCTCCCTAATCTCGCTACACCGTCCTCACCAGTCTCCCACCTACCCGCACTACCAGCACCTCCCAACACCCAACACGATAACCTCAACCCACTCCCCCCGGCTGCTCTCACTCCATCCATCCTCTCAGTCAACCTCTCCGTCTCACTCCAGTACCCATCCCATCATCAACTAGACTCCCTTATTCTCTCTCTCCCCCACTCGACAGCCTTGTCCAACCGCACGCTCACACCCGTCCATCCTCGATCACTAATTCAATACCGCATTCAATCTCCCCGTCCGCTATAATTCCTCCCCGACGTGTCGTACATCATCCCTCAATCTCGGCAACGCCTCATCTAACCACCTCTCCAGCAATCCGCCCTCCTCCTCTCCTCGTCTCTCCTCCCCAAAGCACCTATAGATCACGTCTCGGATCTCTCTCCACCAAAACCCCTCCCTCTCTCCGCTTCCTCCTCTCGCTATCTCCCCCCACTCGAGGAATGGCGTCCTCCGACCGGCCTGACTCCTCACCGGTCATCCCGTCTCTCTCCCTCCTCTACTCCAATCGCGGCAAACGACTCGTTTCCCTCCTGCACCTCCCATCCCATCTATCTCTCGCCTCGTCCATCCTCTCCCTCCCTCGCCTCACTCATCTCTACCCGGTCTGCTCTCTCTTCTCTCCTCACCCTCCGAACTCGCAGCGCAACCGCCTCGGTCTCGATCCTTCTTTGATACAACTGTTGCAGTTTATCTGAGACATATGGTGCAAGAACGTCAACACACGTAGAACAATGGTCTTTTCTCCACATGAACGGAAACAAAGGTGAAGTATTAAAGTTTGAGACTAAATTACATTTTTAATGAATCCGAACCTGGCTATACTGAAAAAGAAAAAAGAAGGAAAAAACTTTTAAAGTAACCAAGAGCTCATCTAAAGATATAGGGACTCAATCTGTGATAAGCCCGAGTATATAGACCAACGGGTTTAAACACTAAAAGTTTGAAATGGATCCTTTTAAGAAAAAATCTCGTCAAAGCCGCATGTTTCCTGCAGGCTCTGAAAGTTGCAACAAGAAATAGCTCATAGACAATTGTAATTGGACGATGGAAAAATATAACAAATTAAAATTACAGGACTTTGTCTGTGTTAATGTTTGTGTGTGATATAGTTTGTGTTGAGTTATATGTTTGTTGTGTGGTAAATGTTTTGTAGTGATATATTTGTTTTTGTGCGTCATGTCAAGTTCAAACTACGATGTCCTAACACACCTCTTGGACGAATATACTAACGGGAGTCGCCTGTGTGAGTGATGTGAGTGTGGGAGTAAATGAGAGTGGACGAGGAGTCTGAGACGGAGAATGGAATAACAACCAAATGTTTTTCTGTCATGTGTTAATGTGATCATGGAATAGATTAATTTTTTGTCAACAGCAACGGTGTAAGTACTAGAGATTCAAAGATAATAAGCTTATTAACAGGTGTAAAAGTGAGAGTACTCTGGGATGATACTCTGAAAAAGGACTCTGCGGAAAGTACTTCTGAGATTGAAATACCTTGCGGAAGGTACTGGGAGTCCCTCCTCTGCTTGTTTTGTCCTGACAGTGATCGGTCCAACCGCAGTGAGCTCAATTGGTGAAGTCAACTTTGGTTTGTAACTCACATTTTTAGGGGAGTATAAAATAAGAAACATACATATTGTTAAGTCCTGTATTGTGGCTACAGCCTCTGCCTGATGTCACACACGTCTGTCAATGTCGTTAATGTTTTTGCCCAATTGGAAAACATTGACAGGCAGCCGCTAAAAGCCAGGGAGTGGGCATGTTTGTGTTCTAATATTCTCTATGAGAGATAAACTACCCCGGCTTCAGGGATGACAGTATATGGATCATGAGGAAATGACCTCTACTTTGGCGCCAAAGCCAAATATGAATTGAGGACGATCCGGGAGAAAAGCATCTGAGATGATTGGCACAGTAATGCCTACACACACACACAGATGCAGGTGGTATACTTTGCCATGACCAGAGAGGGGAGTATTGTATTGGTCATCAGTGTCATCGGTCCTTAACCTTGCTAAATCATTATGAACGAAGTGTAAAACATATATTTACAAGAACAAAATAAATAATAGAAAGGGCAGCCTAAAAAAGCAAAATGGGAAAATTATTAAGTAATTTTCGGAGTTGCCAAAATGAAAAAAATTCTAGTATTTGTCCCATAGGGGGTCATTCTAAAATTTAGTGTTGTGCAAATTCAAAAGGAGAAATAATAGCGCTTATAACATCAAACAGATCTATCTTTAAGATAATAGATCATGCAACAATAATAATAGAATAGAATGAAAATAGTCTGGAGCTATAATGTCATTGGATTCGAGGAGCTTATAGGTTTGAATTCAAAGTCGCACTAAGAAGAGCGTGTCAGAATAAACAATAGTAATAATAGTTAGACTAGTGAATAATCATAAAGTAATCTATTGTGGAAATAAGTATCAATAAGGTTTCAAAATTGTTCTAATATCTAAAGTAAAAGGAATCAAATGCGTCTATTTTAGATGTTTCTGTTTTCCCCCATCTGTAGAACTAGTGCAGATTGTTTATTTATAGAGAGTAGTATTTAAAATGCAGCCCATAGAACACAGGCTATTAAAACAAAATTTTAAATCTAAGAATAGCTCAAATATAACATTGCTCTGATGCAGCCTCTGAGCTGCTCCATTGGAAACAGGTAAAATGTTTATTGTTTATTTCAAACACAGCCTAATATTTACACATATTAATTTGGGACAACTCTTGAAACAGTTATAAGCAGCGGACAGAAGCCATGAATGCTTTTGTTTATTTAAATAATTAAATGCATAGCCTTAGTAAAGTAGAGAACGTTTTAAAATGTGTTATAAATCCCTTTCAGCAACTTGATTTTAGATTATGTCTTTAATAGTTTGCAGAACAAGAACAAGAACTAGCCAATGAAAAATCATCTATTGCCAATGCAATTGTTACAATCAGAACTCAAAAATTGGGAATATGCTTTGGCTCAAACTACAACCAAGATTTGGAGTCACAATAGAGTGTAAAATAGATAGATGCTTTCAAAAATAGAGATTATTTTTAGACAGGGTTAATATCAAACGGTAAAAAGACCATTTCCTTCATATTATGTCCAAAAGTAGTTACTTCAAAAGTAGATAAAGTTCATGAGTGTAGCCTAGATTAATGTAGCTTAGATTAATGAGATAGATTAGAACCAACAGAGATTCAAAAACATTTAAAAGCATTTTGGTGAATTTGGGTATAGCACAAAAGTAGATCTTTAGGTAGTTTTGAGAATTTTAAGAGCTGTCGATTTGTCAGCAACAGATTAGAGAATCAAAATACCGTTGTATAGGGACTGACCCCAGAGAAACCTGCTAAAATAGATTAGCTCCTGTAACGATAATACCAATTTGATTAATGATGAAGAATCAGAATGACACAGCGGTGGTCATCAAAGAGTTTTGTGAAGGAATGTTTCGAATGTGGTTGTGTGTTGTATTCTTTCTGTATTAACTCTTCACAGATATCAAGCCTGAACTAAGCACAAGTATGGATGATAAACGACGATGTGGATTGTGACCTAATTTTTAATCAGGTCAAAAGAGGGAAACTGTTGTATTTATAAATACGTGACATTCTAAAACCATGTGTTTTATGACCTAGCTAACCTCTAAGTGGGAGGCCAGTCCTTCTTATTTTATTTTAGGTGTCTTCTTGTGCCAGCAACTGGACAACAGATGGATTCTGCTGTTTGGATTTCACCCCCCTAGTCTTGGCCTGCTGACTTCTGCACTTTTCAACCTCACTCCATCAGGAGTCTGGCAGACGGAGGAAAAGGCTGGACCCTAGACCGGAAGCTGGCTGATAGGACACTCCCCTCCTTCCTGTTCTTTATATATGCTCTGGCTTGGGGAGACAGAGAAGGATCAGCCGAGGGCCAGGAGAGGGACATATTAGTTTTAGGAGCACTCTTTTGTTGATTTCTGTATCTGATTGTAAAGATAATTAAATGCAGATGTTAACCTTTGAGAATCTTTTTGTCTGATTTCTGTATCAAATTGTGGACACGTCAGCCAAAGGGAATTATTGGCTTCACCGTCCTTGGACCGATGATAAGATGGGCAGTGACATTTAACACCATTTAAATGTGTTTTTACCACTTTGGTCCCTTTGGTTATGTCACAAAGGTCAACAGAAATGGAAAGGAGACAAGGACAAGGAGAAACTTTTTACAAATGTCGATTCAGGGCAAGTCCCGTGTTTACAATTTTGCAAAATGTGATTGCTCAAAATATGCTCTATTTGAAAAGCCTTATCCTATAGTCAATATTCTTGTTTATTTTTGTATCTCCCCCCCCCCCACCACACACACACAGCTGCATTTCCACAAACCAACATTCTGCTGAAGTCCATTTGGCTGTCAGCGCTCTCCTGATTTCTCGTTTGGTCTCTTTGCAAATACTCCCAGCAGGACAAACATTGACTTTACCAGTTTGATATTTTCCCTCCGCCTCAGTTTGAAATGTCTTCGGTAAATCTTACAGACGAGCTGCATAATCAGACGTTTTTTTGCGATACGCGTGAAGCTATTTCCACTGCTTTGAACAGGTCTGGATATGCAACAGCTGTGGCAGTAGTGTTTGCTTAAGCCTTGTAAAGAGCATTACCGGGGCTGGAAGGCACATCCCGCTGCACCTTCCCCTGTCATCCCCCCTCGCCTGACACCCGCACGCCCACCACACCGCCTGCAGGGGGCGCTCAAGGGACAGAGGCAAGAATAAACAAGGAAAAACACAGCAAATGTTTGAGATTTACATAACAGTCGCTTTGGTTTAGCTGTAGTTTTGTGGTGCTTCCGAGACAAAAATATGAATATCGGCCCAACTCTCAAGATGCATGGATCAGTTTGTTGTCTGTATAGTTTTACTTACTTATGTGTGAATTTAATGTGTACATTTTGGCCATTAAAGTTGGGGTACTTAACTGTCATACCCCAATATTTGACAATGTAATCAAATCCATTAGTTTGGTTCCATCCATAGTTTGTGATGTAATTTGGTCTCTGTTATATCTTTAGATAGACATTTTCAGACATAAGAGTGAATAAGAGAGACCCATTCTCACTCAGCCAATCAGCTCTCAGCCTAAAGAGTCCAT